GGCACTCACCTGTCACATGGGAGACCAAGGTTCAAGTCCCTCCTCTCCCTGATTCAGAACTGCGGCTTGAACCCAGGTCTCCTGTATCCCAGGTGAGTGCTCTGGTTAGAGAGTCAATCTCGCCTGTTGGAGAGATCTTTCTCTCCTATTTATTTGTATAATTAAATATGAATTGGGCCAGAGAGTGGGTCCCTTCTCTGAATCAGGCAAACCTTCCAGACAAAAGAGCCAGCATTCTTTTGTGGATAAATTCCTGACTAGCTAAACCTAATCTAAACCTTCACCAGAAGTACCGGTAGTTATGAATTAATGTAAAAAGCACAAGTAGTATTGTTTTCACTGGGCTTTCTGACTCAAAGGAGGAGGTGGATTTTAATACTTGGAATAGAAGCTACTCCTGAACTCTAATTAATACAGTAAAAATTTAAATGATAAGGAACTGAATTTTTTGGGTCACAAATTCTTATTGCTGATGTATTCCATGTTTTCTGTAGTACGCTGTGGAAACAAAATAGCCAAGTGTATTTTCAGGAAACTATGTAAATGAAATTGATGAAGTGTCAACAATTGACTGCTTGTTTAAATTGGATAACATCGGAAAAGCTGTTATAGTATGTTCTGACTGTTACAATATTATTATATACCGTAAGTGTTCATTTGAACAATGAGAATACTGCAGACAAAGCGTGAAGCTTGCAAGATGTTTAAAGCCTTCTCTCTGGTACAGTATGATACAATCTGAAGCAGCAGTTCTTTTAATGGAGTTAATTCTTTCATTCCATCTCTCAAGGGGAAAGCACCATACTTTGCATTGTGGGGGTACTTAGGCCTGGTCTACACTAACACCCCAATTCGATCTAAGGTACGCAACTTCAGCTACGTGAATAACGTAGCTGAAGTCGACATACCTTAGTTCGAATTTACCGCGGTTCAGACGCGGTCCACACACGGCAGGCAGGCTCCCCCGTCGACTCCGCGGTACTCCTCTCGCTGACGTGGAGTACCGCAGTCGACGGCGAGCACTTCCTGGTTCGAATTATCGCGTCCACACCAGACGCGATAAATCGAACCCGGAAGTTCGATTGCCAGCCGTCGAACTACCGCGGTAGTGTAGACAAGCCCTTAGTGATTCGCTTAACAGGAGGTTAAATGAAGCAAAGTTTCAAACAGCAAAGAAACAAACCAGCTAATGCTCCTAATGTTTAACGTTGAAGGTGAACTGAATTTCAATTGATGAAAATTGCTATATAACAACTAAGTATTATTACTGACTGGGTTAAACAGATTTGAAACTTAAGGAACGCCCCCCCCCCCCATACAGTTTCTCTCATCATGCACCTCACAAACAGGTGAATTTCTCTATATCCCCAATGCTTCCCCTTCAGCCCCTCTGACCCTCCCATCACAAACAACAGCCAGGGTTCCAGATACTCCTACATACCCATTCACACCTCTGCAACCAGGGGCATGACCACAGATGTAAGTGGTCAAGGCTGTGTTAGGTGGCAGCGCTGGTGGTTGGGCAGTGTCCCGATCTGTGAGGGGCACATGGAAATAGACAATATGGGGTGGAGGGAGCTGGGCCGGCTCCAGGTTTTCTGCCGCCCCAAGCGGCCAAAAAAAAAAAAAAGCCGTGGTAGCGCAATCGCGCCGCTCCACTCTTCGGCGGCAATTCAGCAGCAGGTCCTTCGCTCCAAGAGGGACGGAGGAATCCACCGCCGAATTGCCACCGAAGAGCCGGACGTGCCACCCCAATAGCAGCCGGAGTGCCGCCCCTTAGTATTGGCTGCCCCAAGCACCTGCTTCTTTAGCTGGTGCCTGGAGCCGGCCCTGGGAGGGAGGAATTCATCAGGAATTCATTGGTCCCTAGAAAAATCCATCTCTTTATAAAAAGGGATCTTTCTTCACAAAAGTCAAAGCATATTTTACCATGACAGCATTTCTGCCCCTTTATATTTTCTAAACATGCACTGGGAAATTCTCATGTGCCAATGACTACACAGATATACAGATCATCTAGACCTGAAGTCCAGAAGCAGCGGTACAGATCCACAGACTTTTGGAAGAAAGGGAGATGGAAGTGGCATGGTTATTGACCATGGGCAGCTCTTACCCATCCCTCAATTTAGCATATTTTTATGCAGGTGTAAAATAGGTGCAGTTAGAGCCTAGGATCAAGGACATGTAAATTACAGGATTACAGCAGTTTGATGTGCTACTTAGGCTAGGTCTACACTACCCGCCTGAATCGGCGGGTAGAAATCGACCTCTCGGGGATCGAATTATCGCGTCTCTTCGGGACGCGACAATCGATCCCCGAATCGACGCTCTTACTCCACCAGCGGAGGTGGGAGTAAGCGCCGTCGACGGGAAGCCGCGGAGGTCGATTTTGCCACCGTCCTTACAGCGGGGTAAGTCGGCTGCGATATGTCGAATTCAGCTACGCTATTCGCGTAGCTGAATTTGCGTATCTTAAATCGACCCCGCCCGTAGTGAAGACCTGCCCTTAGTAACTTGTGCATGGAATAGAAACATGGACAGCTGGTGACCTGGCTGTTGGGGAGGCTATCCCCCAGCCCCTCTCCTTCAGTTCCCCCTTCCCTGCAGGAGCCCAAAGCATGCTGACCATGGGTCCCGGTGTCAGGCAGCACGGCCACAGCACCCCCTACCTGGAGCGCTGGGTGGCGCAGACGCAGCGCCCCCAGCCCTGGAGCACCAGGCGGTGCAGTCCGAGTGCCGGGCGGGCAGCCCGGCCCCAGTGCCAGCTGCCCCAAGTCCCCACAGCAGGTTGCCCAGCTCCAGCCAGCCTGGGCCAGGGCAGAGCACTGGGAACTGCAGGAGGAGGCCTGGGGATGGAGCATGGGCGGGGCCATGCCAGGCTGTTCGGGGAAGCATAGCCTCCCCTAGGGTGACCAGACATCCGAATAAAACCGGGACTGTCCCGATATTTAACTCTTTGTCCCGCATCCTGACCAACGTACGATTGGGATGCCATTTGTCCCAATATTGTGGGGTTGCCAGGCATCTGGTTGGCGCAGGGCTAGCAGGCTCCCTATCCGGCTCCATGGAGCTCCCCGGAAGTGGAGATATCTCCCTCTGGGTCCTAGGTGCAGGGACGGCCAAGGGGGCTCTGTGTGCTGTCCCTTCCATGAGCGCCAGCTCCGCAGCTCCCATTGGCTGGGAACCACAGCCAATGGGAGCTGCGGGGGCGGTGCCTGCGGGCGAGGCTCTGTACAGAGCCTCCTGGCCGCACCTGTGCCTAGGACCCAGAGGGAGATATTGCTACTTCTGGGGAGCTGCCTGAGTTAAGTGCCTCCTGGAGTCCATACCCCACACCCCAACCCCTGCCCCAGCCCTGAGTTCCCTCCTGCATCCAAACTCCCTCCTGGAGTCAGCACCCCAAACTCCCTGCCGTGCCCCAATCCCCAGCCCTGAGACACCCCCATTGTGGCAGGGGCCGGACTTGGAGCCGTGCACCCCTGCCCTGCGGCTTGCTGCAGGGGCTGCAGCTGGGGCCATGTGCCTGTGACCTGTGGCTTGTGGTGGGGGCCGGAGCCGGGGCTGTGTGCCCGCGACCTGCGGCTTGCTGTAGGGACTGGAGCCGGGGCCATGTGGACGTGACCTGCAGCTTGCAGCGCCCCCTGCCCCCATGTGTGCCCTCCACCCCCATGGCTCCGGTGGGGGCTGTGAGCCTGTGGCTGTCCCCCCCACATGTGCTGATATTTTACTCTTGTGATCTGGTCACCCTAGCCTCCCCCAGCCTATGATATCCACCACCCATGAGTAGAAATAGTGCAACTAAGATCTGAGCCCTAAGCAAACAACATTTTCCCCAAAGTAAGAGGCATATGCTCCACAGCCCACTGCAGTACCAGAAAGATTCCAAAAATATCTGACATGTGTCTGCATCATTCCAGTATCACAAATAGACAACAAAGTACTTTAGACATAAACCAGCATAAAAAGAAAGTTTTTGTTTTGTTTTTAAATACCAAAAACCAAAATATCTTCTGTTATTATTCAAGTGTTGAAAACATGGTAAAAGCTCAATTAATCTCAGATCCTTCAAGCTTATAGCCTGGTTGTTAGGATGCTCACCTGGGAGAGGGGACATCTGAGTTCAAGTCTCTGCTCCAGAGTACAGATTCAAACCTGGGTCTCCCATATCTGGGCAAATGCCTTAACCATTGGCTAAAGTTATAAAGGGACTGAACGTCACACACACAGCTAAAGGTTATAAGGGGACATACACACAGTTTGCTGGCCCTGAAAAACTTTTCCCCAGCTGAAGCTATCACGTCAAATTTGCAAACAGTTTCTGTCAACCCAAAAATGCATTTTTCGGCAAATAAACTATTTGTCCAAAAAGTTTTGTCCTGCTCCAGTTTCAAATCACAGTACTTTTGCAAGAAGATTGCTACTTGTACAAGGTTCAGAAGTGTCACTGAGAATAAATGTAGAAACTATTTTTCAAATACATTTACAGGGCTTTGTCCTTCACTAGATTTTAGTGTATCATCACCTTTTGGTCTTTGAGTGCTGAATCCCCACAGAATAAATGTATTGAAAACAATTAATTTTTTAAAATTAAATTAAATAAGAACAAGTGAGAAGTGGGTTGAATTTCAAAGGGATATTTTTGTTTTGGGGTCCTGTGTTAGAATAAAGCTGAAAGAATTCTCTACTATTTTTATACCACTGGTATAGGAAAGATTAATATAAATCGTAAAGCCTAAAAGAAGATTTTAGGCCTGTTGTCCCATGCATAATCTAAATCTTTATTAAACTGATGCTCAAACACACATTCTGTCCTAATTCTGTGGTTAGTCTTTAAATATTTACATATTTCCTCTCTAATAAATATTACTCAAGGAAAAGATTTTTTTAAAATGTTGTCAAAGATCAAATAGAGCAACAAGCGGAATTTAAGAAGTAACAGCATACAGAAACAACCAGGCCAACTCAGCCACATTGTCTATGACTTCATCCAGCATTCTCACCTGGTACTCCATCTCTCACCCAATATTCAGTGTCTGTTTCACCACCATTTTCATAAATGTTTGTAACATTGATAGGCTGCAGCAGCTGCATAATCTCCTTCAGGATGGCACGAGCTTTATCACTGCCTGTAAAAGCCAGGCCCATCGGCATGAAGGTACCCGAATCAGACTCCATGACGATGTCAAAGTTGGAGATGTTACCCTGAACACATAAGAAAAGATCATTTTAATATTTATTTGCAGACTATTTTTGTAAGAATCCAATATTTGCCATTAGCTATATTTTACTAACAGAGCATGCAATACCGAAAAATTTAAGAGAATGCAGACAAGAGATGTATATGAACTATATAAAACAAAAAGCCTCATCTCTCATATATGAATTGCTGATAAGGCTCTCCTTTCTGAGGCAACGTAAGACAGAAGGCTTTTACAAAATAGCCAGTCTGGTGGCACGAACTCATTGCACTACTAACTAGTCCTCTTAACACCCTGACCCTTATGAGGCAATTTAGAACTAGTTATACCTGAACTGTCTTGAAGGCACCTAACAGAACACACTCCATCCTCACAAGTTAGAGGTTTTGCTTCTACGCACATGTCTGGGAAATTCATGACTGCATAAGCGTTACAAGAAAAAAAAGTGCTATTGAGCAGTGCTTCCCATGAATAATAGACCCATGCTAAATTGACTCACTGGTAACTATGAAAATAATCTCACACAAATATTACCCCCAATGAACGTTCAAAACCTGTCACCCTGGTGCCACAGGTTTTCTGAAGTTCAGCAATAGAATGTGCTATGCATGCTCAATGTGCTATTTTTAATTGCTGTAACGTGGTTCTTTCAAGATCAAAGTATTTCAGATGTGGCAAAAACAGGAGTTCCTAATTCAGGAATAGGCATGCTAAAAGTTTTAAAAGAAAAGTCTTTGAGATGTTTGAACACAAGGAAGTGTCTGAAAAGCAACTTAAATAAAGACTAAGTCACCTCCCCAACTGTTGGACAACAAAATGGCTAAACAAATGAAGATATTTTTGAAAATAATTAACTTCTTGGCTGAGTTGAAAAGCCTGAAAGGTTTCAATCTAGAAAGGTAAAAAAGTTACAACTAACTGGGAACAGGGAATTAGAATGGAAGTGTCCTCTCAGCCCTATCTCCAGTGCAATTGCATAGGTCATGGGTTCTCACCCTGGGGTCACGACAACCCTCCCTTTCCTTATGGCGAGATGAGAAGAAGGACCAGCAAGTGCATTCTGTTGTAATGTGCTAACCGTATTGAAAAGGCTGAAAACCATGGGTATAGATGATAGAATGTGTAAGACGCTAAGCTTTAGATTTCAGGCCGTGTTAGCTGCCAGTGATAGTATGAGAGAGTGTTCAGGACAGCTTTAAAACATTTCAGTCCCCCGGTGCCTGAACACAGATGTACAAGGTGTCACAGTTCCTGGGTAACTGCACCTGTATTCCCCTTCCGCAGTCTGCTCCAGGAGTGCCCAGTCAGGTCTCAGGCCTCAAGCTATCAGCTGTCTCTAGTCCCACTCCCTTCTGACCAGGGTTTTACGGCTGCACATCCCCGTCATACACAGTGATATCCTCAGCAGCTCTCACACGTATCCAGCCCCCTGCTCTTTACTTTCACTGCCAGAACAATGACAGGGTTTTTACCAGTGACCACACAGCTCTAAGAAAGCAAAATACATTTATTCTTAAGGCAAAAGCATCATAGAAAAAACATAAAAAGGATAAAAGGATTTAAATGCTCACTAATCATACCAGGACTCTCCCATCTTCTACATGGGAAGTCTGTTAGGTCAAAGTCTTTCCAATCCTTCTGCAAGGGTTGGAGCCACTCTACAACCAAAGGGCTTGTTTGCTGAACCAAAAGGAAGGCCCTGAGTCTGTTTAAACTCAGCCTTTTACACCAGAAGTCTTTCTTTGTCCCCCAGCCTCCTGAAAACAGTTAAAATCAGTCCCTCCCTCTCTTCCCCAGCAGAAGAAGCTTCGAAAGGTAGAGAATCTACATAGCCAGGCTTGGGATTTTGCATTAATCACCTCTTAGTGATCCCAGATCCCGCTGGAACCCCCACCCCACCCACAGTGATCCAAGATAGCACAGGAAACCACCCCCTATTTCCACCCCAAAGTGAGCCAGGAAAACACAATACATTTGTATTGGTACAAAGGGCTATTCTACCAGCTCAAACTGTGCGGTCCATCTCAGTATAATGGCTTTTTGAGACTTTCATGCTTTCTATGTAAAACACAATATGGTCCCCAAAGATACCACATGTGGCTGCAATATTTGTCACACAAGAGTTGCCAGTTAAAAGACAATATTTGCTACAGTAACCACATTTCTCTCCTGTATTAGGTGTAGGAGGGGAAAATCTGGGTATCATTCATACCATCAATCTGGCGAATGCTAACTTTTTAATGCTGACCATTGTACCATATTTGGCCTGTAACAGAAGCATTTCAAACACTGGCTCTTGAGCAGCTCCACTAGATGCCTGTAAAGCATTGGCTATGTCTTCAAAACAATAACTCTGCTCAAAACAGTACTCATGTTTAGGGCCCTACCAAATTTACGGTCCATTTTGGTCAATTTCATGATTTCAGCTATTTAAATCTGAATTTTCATGGTGTTATAATTGTAGGGGTCCTGACCCAAAAAGGAATTGTGGGGGGGGGTCACAAGGTTATTGTAGTAGGGGTGCAGTACAGCTATTCGTACTTCTGCGGTGCTGCTGGCAGCAGCGTTGCCTTCACAGCTGGGCAGCTGGAGAGCAACAGCTGTTGGCCAGGACTCAGCTCTGAAGGCAGAGCCACCACCAGCATCAGCGTAGAAGTAAGGATGGCACGGTATGGTATTGCCACCCTCACTGCTGCGCTGCTACCTGCAGAGCTGGGCCCTCGGTCAGCAGCTGCCACTTTCTGGCTGCCCAGCTCTGAAGACAGCAGCGCAGAAGTAAAGGGTTGCATGGTATGGTATTGCCACCCCTACTTCTGCACTGCTGCTGGCGGGGCACTGCCTTCAGAGCTGGGACCTGGCTAACAGCCACCGTTCTCTGGCCACCCAGCTCTGAAGGCAGCACAGAAATAAGGATGGCAATACCACAACTCCTGTAAAATAACCCTGTGACACCCTCCTTCCCCCCCGCAACTCCCTTTTGGGTCAGGACCCCCAATTTGAGAAACGTTGGTCTCCCCCGTGAAATCTGTATAATATAGGGTAAAAGCACACAAGAACAGATTTCAGAGGGCAGACCAGATTTCATGGTCTGTGACGCGTTTTTCATGGCTGTGAATTTGGTAGGGTCCTACTCATGTTACAAGGGGTTTTTAGTGCAGGAAGAGTGATTGATAGCATGTAAATGAATTGAGACACTATTTGTGGTGGATAGAGGGAAGTGTTGGTGTGAATGGAAGAATGAATATGGGGAAAAAGATTATCTCAAAGGCAAAATTAGCCACACCAAGCAAATTTCAAGGTATCAGCAACACTGGTGTGCAGAAAAGACCACTTAACCATTGTAGAAATATTTTATAAGTTGCTGCTAACAGTATGGCATTCTTCAATTGTTTTCTATTTATATAAATGTTCACATATGTTTTCAATATTAAACTGACAAAATGAACCACCCACAGTACACAACACTGCCTTTTTCCTCCTCATTTATATTGTAACTGTTTAATTGTTAGCACATGCTGGAGGGGTATGAAAACAGAATGTCTTTGCACAGTAAAACCAGATCGGGATGGGGGTGGGGAGGAAGAAACAGGCCACAAAGGTTAGAACTGCTCTTTATCCTTGAGAAGACTATCTTTTTAAAGCATTTTGTCCATTAGAATGTAATGAGTAATTGCATATATATGCAAAGTGGATTTAGAAAACAACAGTAACTAGGCTCCACAAGAGGTGGTCTGGGCTGATTTCACCACACCAACTTGAGCATTTGTAATAAGATACTAAGGTTCCTATGTATGAGAGAAGAAATATGTCTCATGTAAGACTATCCTTTATTTCCTTTAGATGGTGCAGAGGTAACTGCTGTTTATCAAAACAGGCTAAGACTGCATTTTGTTCTCATAAGTAAACAGTTGAATATAACTGTAGGATTACAGAATAACTGTGGGCTCAGCTGTTCCCTCCACCTCTCCCTGTACTGAAAATTTCATTCATATGCAGGCTCATTAAAAACTCAGGTCACTGAGATAATCACTTTTGTCAGAGACCAATATATTTGCTGCAACTTGCAATAATGCAACATACTTAATGGTATAATTCTCACCATGGTACACAGCACAGAGAATTAAATGAAACACACTGGCTCTTGTTAATGGGAGTTGCCTGCTTAACTCTCTGCACGCCAATTACATTTATCCTTTACATTCCTGTGACTTGATCCTGCCCATAGAGTATATTTAGTGCAGGATGAGTCTGCCACAAAAGAGGTAACTTCTTTCTGGCTTATTACGTCTATTTCTTACACTGAAACTTTTAAATGCATCAACGTAGAGTTTATCGCTTGCATATGCAAATAGCTCAGTGGTTTGAGCATTGGCCTGTTAAACCCAGTGTTGTGAGTTCAATCCTTAAGGGGGCCATTTAGGGAACTAGAGTAAAAATCTGTCTGGGAATTAGTCCTGCTTTGAGCAGAGGGTTGGACTAGATGACCTCCTCAGGTCCCTTCCAACCCTAATATTCTATTCTATGAGACTGATCCCTGCCAGTATTTTCCCCTCATTTATTTTTAAATATGTATTCCTACCAAACAAAGCTAAAACACATTTTAAGCATATATCCCCTCCTCCCTTTCAACCCATAAGGCAAGCAGCTAAAACTATGAAATCACAGCCAAGTCCTTTCAATCTAAAAAAGGAACCAAAACATCTGGATCTCCTGAGACTATGAAGGTATTGATTCTGTCAGAAAGGTAACAAGTCCCACTAAGACCAGGAACTGGGAATCCTAGTCAGCCAGGAAGTCAACTGTGTAGTTAAAAAAAAAAACCTTAATACTTAACAGGGATGATGCTGCTTTGTCAGGCATGAGACTCAAACCATGTTCCCAAAGTCTCATGACTTATCTACTGAGTCACTGAATTTCCTCTTTCAGAGCTGCAGCACTGGGAAATCCAAACTCCCAGATTAAACAGGGGGCGGTGTGGAGCAAGCTGTTCTAAAAGGCTTTGGCAGCATTTGGGCTATTTAAAATACACTTATCTCCTTTCTATAAACCTGAGAATCTTAAAGATAATTTGGAAGAAAGAAAGAAGAGTCCAATGGCTTAGCTGTTATTGACTGGTTCTAAAACCAGTCCCAATTTAGAAGACTCACCACTTTACAAGGAAAGCACTAGAGTTTCCTTTTATGACAAAATATTGCCCTTGATTTGCTGGTTAAATATTTGTTCCAGTATATGGGACATGATGTGAGTTTGGTAGTCTCCCTCAAGTTTTCTGCTACTGAATTACACTTAGCATTAGGAAACACCTACACTTGTATGTCAGGATTTGATCCTAAGCAATTTGGATCTAAATATAGTATTGCAATAATCTTCTCATACTAGATATAGTCAAATGATAATCACCTCACTCAAGTAACTATATACATGTCTAAATCAACACTACAGATTTATTAGCCTGGTAACCAAGAGTATGCAAAATGTGGTATGAAAATATGCTAAAAGCCTAAGTGTGTAACTTGCAGGTAAAAAAGAAAACTAATTAGATTATTTTTAAAACTCATATATCACTATAATGTCAATTTGAGTTGCTATTTTTAGCCAAGCTCAGTTAATAAAGCAAAATGGCATAAATGGAAACTGAAGAAAAAATTCAGAACAGCTGTTAGGAAGTAGAGATGAGCTGGTCTCAGAATACAGTATCTGGCAACCACAAGTACAAAAGCACAATTCATACTCCAAAAGAGCAAGGACAGCAAAAGTCCAGGGAAGTGTGACTTGGAAAATTTCCACACAAGTTACCCTGTTATTAAATAGGAGAACCTTCCTGTGAGGCATTGTACAAGGAGGATTCTTTGCCCCTCTCAATAGTCAGGTGAAAGATTTTTCTGTTGCACTTAGCTGGACCTATGTTTTATACCTCTAGACCAGTGGTTCTCAACCTATTTATTATTGTGGGCCGCATATGCGACCCACAGTGTGTTACCTGGGCTGCAGATTGAGAATCACAGTGTGCCCCCCACCCCCTGAGCCCTCCCACAGACCCTATGTTCAGTGCCTCCCACAAAGAAATCCCTCCACGGAGCGGGGCCAGGAGCAGTGCCCTGGGCAGGGGGCTGGGTGACAGGGACCCCGGACCCCTCTGTGCGGGTCTGGCGGCAGCCCTGACCTGGACCCGGCTGTGAGGCAGGGCAGGAAGGCGGCAGCCCAGATCCCGACCTTGTGCGGCTGGGAGCCCCAGACCCTGGACCCCACCATGCGGGGATGGCCGAAAGCCCTGGGCCCCAGACACCCGCTATGTGGGGCTGGGTGACAGACCTGACCTCAGACATTGCAGGGCTGAGTGGGAGCCCCAATCCCGGACCCCTGCTGTAGATGGCCGGGCGGCAGCCCCAGACCCCCATTGTGCGGGGCCGGGCGGCAGCCCAAATCCCAGACCTCTGCCACGGTAGGCTGGGCAGCCCAGACCCTGCTGTGCCGGGCAGCCAGAAACCCAGACCCTGCCATGCGGCCCAGCAGCCTTTAACACATAGTTGGTCTGCAGCTCTCAAACTATGGGGCAGGCCTCCCAAGGGACGCGTGGGAACGTGTCAAGGGAGGCATGAGCTATGTGCCCTCCAAACCCCTCGGTCCCTGCCTAGAGCACCCTCCTGCACCCCAAATCCCTCATCCCTGGCCCCACACAATAGCCTTCACCCTCCACACACACAAACCCCTCCCCAACCTGGAGCCCCCTTCTGCACCCTGAACCCCTCATTTCTGGCCCCACCCCAGAACCCGCACCCCCAGCCCAGAGCACTCCCAAACCCCAAACCCCTGCCTCAGCTCGGAGCCCCCTCCCATACTCTGAACCCCTCGGCTCCACCATCCCCAGCCCAGAGCCCCCTCCTGCACCCCAAACCCCTCATCCCTGGCCCCATACCAGATCCCGTCCCCCCAGCTGGAGCCCTCACCCCCTCCCGCACCCCAATCCCCTGAGCCAGCCCAGTGAAAATGAGCAAGTGAGTGAGGGTGGGGAGAGCGAGCGACAGAGGGAGGGGGGATGGAGTGAGCAGGGGTGGGACCTCAGAGAAGGGCCAGGGATGGGGGCGGGGCCTCAGAGGAGGGCCAGGGAAGGGGGCGGGGCAAGGGTGTTCAGTTTTGTGTGAGTAGAAAGTTGGCGACCCGAATCTTCGCTCCATAGAATTCAGTGACAAAACTCTCATTGACGTGAATAATGTCCAGATTTCACCTATAAACTTTTACTTAATTATTACCATTTTGGCTGGTGAAGACAAAATACCAATATGTCTATATGTTTTGTAGGCGTACTATTGTTTCTCTCAGTTTGGCAACCCTCACAGACAATACAATTTGTTATTATGTGTTTTGAGTGTCAGTCTCAATTGATATAAACTGCAAAAGGTAAAGGAGATAGCATTAGGAACAGCAACATGCTACATACAGTAGCCCTGAGATTACCCATGGCCTTATTTGTGGCCATTTTTTCCTCTTTTGACCATTTTAGTATAGTAGAGAGCTTTGCCAATGAGAGATTTTTTTATTCAGACCTGGATACTTATTATAGACAAGCCCCTTTATTGCTCAGGAGTAGAAATAATCAACATTTTCTGAATGTTATATTTGGCCTTTTTACAAATATTTTCTTCCAAAATACTGTCAACGTTATTGACGTTTTTCAATTTAAAAAATTGTGGCTTTTTCATTTTACTCACAAATTTTTATGGAAAACATCAAACTGATTATCAATTTTTAAAATTTCCTAAATCATGGGTTTTTAGTAAATGAAGATTTTTGATAACATTTTAAATAATATTTTTAATAAAATAAATTGATTTTTGGAACAATTCAAAACAAACAATACTTTAACATTTCCTAATCTTTTGCAAAAATAGACTTTCCTTATTCAACCAGTTCTGCTCATGAGCCAATGCAGTAAAATGAAACTGAAGTATTGAGGAAAAACAAAGTAGGAGCAAATAGAACATGTGTTCCTTTTCAGCTCTGTCATCTGAGACCCCTTTCTACAGGTGGAGTCTGTCTATCCCTTTCTCTCTTCGTTAGCAAACAGACAAACTTTGGCTCTTTCCATATGCCCTTCACAATCTGCCCCCAACTTCCAGACAAAGGAGCCCTGAAGTAACTGTAAAGCAGCCCATGTCTCCCAGTGACAAGATGGTACTGTAGCTAAAGCTGTGGAAAAAATCAATGGCAGAATCGGTCTTTCAGACACTTTAAATGCTTATCAAATGCACATCCCAGCAGTAGCTTTACATCAGCCTGCCTGTAAGCTGGGGGCAGAAAGCCATCCATCCTCAAAAGCGGTCTCCCTGTTAACTCCAGTGAGTCTTTGGATGGAAGGGCAGGAGGGGAAGACTTGATAGTTCCTCCAAGGAGTCAGGGTGTGTTGGCAGCTGCAGACTGTGGAAGCTGAAGAGAGATCAACAGGCTGCTCATACACACTTTGAGGGTGTCCTCCTTGCAGCTGAGGTTTATGAACAATAAACAAATTGAGCACATATTCACTATTAAATGTTCATTATATTCATGTTCTACTGGGCAATGCTCTCCAGGGGCCAACAGACACAGTCTACTAGGTATTACTTATATTTTTAAGTGTTTGTCAGGGGTACCCAAGAAAGAGCACTCACATTGTTAGTATAAGTCCCTCTAAAGTGGTACAACAAGAAGCCTATGGGATAGATTCTCCAGTCTGCCAAGTTTATCTTGAGGCACTTGTGCGCAAAGTGAATGTAAAGCATACATAGGCTTGCACTGGAGAATACCCCAGGTGTAGGTGGATTCCCTACCAGTGCAAAGCTAGCTGAGGTGGCTTCTGCTACCCAGAGTAAAGGGAGGGAAAGGGTGTATCGCAGGGAGGGGGGAGGGGAAGGTCAGGTCAGAGGAAAGGAGGTGAGGGGAGGGGAGGGAAGGAGGCATGGTGGAGTGAGGTTCTACTAAACCTGATTCCCCTCTGGCTTTAAGTACCTGAGGGGCATTTTGCCAGCAATGTAAATTAAAATTGCCCACATGCTGCTTAACTTATGCTGAGACTATGCA